TCCCTAGTTTCAGACCAGGTGATTGTCTTACAATAGAATACCAAGACCAGAACCATTTAGAAAAGTTAATTTGTTAAATTGATCCTACCGGTATCGAACCCGGGAACTTCTCATCCAGTGCCCACAGTGCAAACCGTTAGGCTATCAAAGTTGTACTATTTGTATTATTATGCATTGTTTGCATGTGAAAGCTACAAATTGCTTAAACTTTAAAAAAAATCCTATTTAATTTGCACTGTCAGTCTGCTTCAATTACCTTCTTTGCTTCTTATGTTGGTATATTTTGTCATTCATCCAACTTTTGATTTTTAATGCATTTTGGCGGTGTAAGATGTTCTCTGTTAATATTTGTCACTTTCTTCTTAAGTTCAAGCTATGTGTCCTGGATAAATTCCTGTATTCTCTCTTTTCTATGCATAGTTCACTCATTGATGTAATCACATATCAAAGCTTTAATATAATGGTCTTTTATCAAGCTTGCATCAGTTCTGGTTTCCTTTCTTTTCTTACCATTTTCTTAACCCGTTCGTTCATAGTACTGAAATTATACTGCGCTGAAAAAGTCACCACTTTTCTATATGCCGTAGTGCTTACATTGATTCAATCTAATTTTTACGGTTTATCACTGACGACGGTTGATTCCTTCAATAGGCATAGTCGTACTGCTCATAGTTCTTGCAAATGTTTCTTGTGCTTGAAAAAGTACGGCTATGACGGTAGTAGGGTATTTGCCGTTGTGAGATAATTATAAAACTAAAATGCGCGATATTGATTGCGCAAGAGAAACGCTTTCCAAAATAAACACTTAGGTACTATTTGATAATAATTATTATAATAACGCACACACTCAACATTGCCCCGCATTAGGGAAACCCTGTGTCGCGGGTGCCATGGACACACATATAGACAACCACAAATTACACCCAAACTCACGAGAGAAATAAATGTAGGCCATACACATATTTCTCCCGAAAAACCTAAAAAAATACTTTCGGGGTTATGGAAGTTCATGCAAACGTTATTTCGGCAAATGTATTTTCGGTCTTCTGTTCGTAACCCCGAGCCGTAGAATGAGTGCAACAATATTTGAAAGTATTACTAACATGTATTAAAAAACATTTTAATAATAACATTAGCATCAAAGCGACTTTGAAATTTTTGTCCTAAATATTTCAAACGCTCGTGTTTCAAACAATTGAAATTGACGTGATGGGTCTCGTTCAGTCTTTTACGTAAGCAATGAGTCGGAAAGAGACAGTTAGCTATTTGAATATTTTGATTGCTTTTGTAATTTATATTTACGATTAATTTAAATATGAATTAAATACTATATATACTACTGCATAAAATAACACTTTTAAATGATAACTATGATAACACAATGTAGTGCTTACTGAAAATATGATATACCATCCTGTTTTTTCACTTTAGTTGAGTAATTTTTACAAGGTTTTACCACACAATACGGCATCATTGACAAGCGCGCTGTCAGTCGAACAAACGAAGACTAAAGCGTGATTGACGCTCTGTATATGATTTTAACGCCCTGTAAGTTAGGACACTTTTTAGCGCGGACCCGACGTCCATTTATTTGTAAGTCAATGTGTTAAATAGTTATTTTAATGTTATAAATTTCTCCCAGGTGCCGTACCTATCCTAACTTTGAACCTACAAGCTGGCTGCGAAGGTGAGATTCCAGACGCGTGGCACCATCAAATGGTATTCGGAGTATCTTCGCGAGGAGTATACCTTTGTAACCCAGTAGAGTGCGTGAGAGAAACAGCACTATGGCCGCGTCTGACTTCACCGTCAGTGTTGTTAGTGAGGACAAGAGATGTGCTAGCGAGGTTTACCAGTACCACGGACTTGAGGCCATTGATGGCTGTTCCGGATAGGCGATTTCATACTTTTAATGTGCTTGGTAAGTTACTAAATTACTTCGTTACATGTAGCTTGGTGAAGTACTTTGTTATAATTATTAATACAAGGATCGAACACTCAGAAAAAATTCCTTCGATCCGGCCGGATTCGAACCGACGTCTTTTAGCTTACCGTTACCGCCAGACGCTATACCAACTAAGCCTCGGAACGAACCAGCGGACCTCATGAATTTTTCTATGTGCTTGCGTCGTGTCTTTGTATTTGGTTTTTGGTTTTTTAACGACTCTTTTAAAGATTTATCACCCAGTTAGTACCTTTACAGCTACCTATTACCACATACCAGCTATTAGCTAGCTAATAATTGAATATCAATTTAATAAAAATTTAAAATTAACACGTACTTGTTAAGTTATGTCACAGGGTGACGAGCGCAGTGGCAGAGCCCTTCAGATCTTTGCGATTTAAAGATGCGTGGGCGTGTTGCTTCCCACCAGGCGCAGGCGTAGGTTAATGTTTGTCCTGTCGCTTGGTATTATGAGGGCGTCTGCAAATTAGACCCGTTAATTTAAAAGAAATTAGAACCGTTTCACTACCTGCCGCATTCCATCGCGTACTAAAAGGTTCGGT